CGCTCTTTCTGGTTTGAAATCACTGGGCCCTGTCCAATGCGATCGTTTTGTCTTTACTTCTACAGGTACAGTATATGGAACTCAAGGGAGACGAGGGAGGCAAACTTACACCAGATACCAAACGCTAGAGTTAGAGAAGGAATTTCATTTTAACAGATACTTAACCCGAAGACGACGTATTGAGATTGCAAACGCTCTCTGCCTTACTGAACGCCAGATTAAAATATGGTTTCAAAACAGGCGGATGAAATGGAAAAAGGAAAACAAATTCATAAATTCCACACAGCCCAGCAGCGAAGAAACAGAGGAAAAGTCAGGGGAGTAGAACCACGTTTAATAAACACTACCAGGCCTTTCCGTAGCCCTTACTATTACTATTATTATTTACCTTGTGTTCTTCCTGCTACTAAAATCCTATAGGTTTGTCACAGTCTATTAATTCCCCAAAGGCTTGGTTAAAAAATGTACATTTGCAATCGTCTGTGACTTTCTTTGATATATGTGGAAGTCCTAGCTTTTGAGCTACAGGCATGTATGTAAATAACCACATTTCCAAAGCGTGAATGGCGTTGCATATAGTATTAGAGAAATAGAGCAGATTTTTTAATATCTGAAGTAAACATCTGTGTGTGGGTGAATGTCCCTGGCGTGCCTGTGTGAGAAGAGATAAGCAAGTGATTTTAATTTTTTTTTAATTTTTTTTTTTTTTTAATTAGGAATGTTCATGTTGTAGACATAGGAGAGATTTTACAAAGTCTTAAGTTTAATGCTTTTGCTAACTCCCGCTACGTCGGGTCGTCTCTTTGTGCTGTTTTTGGGAGCTTATGGTCTGCAGAGGGGAAAAAAAAATAAGTTTTATGCATGTATAGGATATTTAAATAGCAAAGCGAAGAAAAATCCTTTTTAAAAATCCTTGTATAAACCCCTGGGTATAAACTTGCAGTTAAAGCGAGGATGAATGGCAGGGAGAGTTTTAAACGCCGCTAAACTGCCTAATCTGCACTAGTAGTGTTAAAATAGAAACTCGGCGTTAAACTTCAGGGGAAGCGAGGGAAGGGGCTTCGAAGCAGGCGAATTTCTGTGGTTCCCATTGAGCTTACACTGAGGTTTCGGTGAGCTCTACACTGAAGGGGGTTTGAATTATGGACTACATTTCTTGAGGCTTCGTGGGCTCGGGTCGATCTTTCTTTCTTTTCTTTGATTTATTTTTTTTTTCTTAATTAAAAGAAAAATGTCTAGCATATTAACTCGAGGATCTTCTTCCTCGCTATTGTGGTATCTTAATTCACATTAATTCGCAATTCTTAACACTGGAAAGAAAATAAATAGATACTCTAAAGAAAAGTAGCTGCCATTAAATGTTTCCACTTGAAGTTCTGTATAAGTAAAATAAGTGCAGCGAAATGATTGATTAATATATATGTTATAGATCTCTATCTTATATTGTGTGTGCGTGAGTGTGTGTGTGTGTGGAGCTGTGTACAAATACACTTGTACACGCATCAAGGCTCTTTTGTTCGAAAGGCAGCGCATTTTTAGGCTACGGCTCGAAATATTTTTAAAGCCAAATCTGTAAAACACTAATGCAAAATGGCTACCGCCGCATTTGGAAGGGTTTTGTGGCTTTTGCTTTTTTTGCTGGGGCTTTTTTTGTTGGTTTTGTTGTTGTTGGGTTGGGGTTTTTTTTGGTTGGGTTTTGTTGCTGTTGTGTTTTTTGTTGGTTTTTTTTTTTTTTTTCCGAGAGGCGGAAAAACAACAGCGGCCGTAGAGCTGACTGGAATTTGACCCCGTAGTTGGAAAAGCGCTGCACGATATTTTTCTTTCATAGGTACCTGCCTTTTCATATCGGCAGGCAGGACCAGAGTGACCCTCGAAATCTCCGACACAGGAAAAAAAAAACCAAAACAACAAACGGGGAGTGGTGGTGGGGGGATAAATAAATAAATAAATAAACAAATAAGGGACATAAGCGCTGCCAGCATCCGAGGAGGGATCGTATAGGTTTTGTGACTGGTGAAAATAAGCCCCGCAGGGAGGAGACAAGAGGCACAAAGC